GCGTTAAAAATGACAACAATAAGACAGGAATACAAAAAGAAACCCAAAAATAGAAGCCCGGGACAGATCAATCAAGAAAACAGAAAAACCCTAAACCCCACGAATATATAGGACAAAATTTGATAAAAATCAAATAGAAAAACGTGAGATGTCTAAAATTCTGCAACTCGATCGCATTTCCAGCGTTAAAAATGACAACAATAAATTAATAGGGCATTCCACTCTACCCACATCTTTTAGCGGCATTTTGGCATATATCTCAACTTATGGGCGTATTTTGCCAATTATCCCTATTTTTTAACACTAATTAAAATAATATGAAGTAGCTGTTTTAAGATTCCTTGGTTTGTAGAGATCTGAGACACGAGGTCTTTTGCTGCCAAGGACAAACCGAGAGAGAGAGAAAGAGAGAGAGAGAGAGAGAGAGAGAGAGAGAGAGAGAGAGAGAGAGAGATGTCGTGAGTAGGGGAAAGAGAGGGGCGAGGGGCAATTTGAGGCAATTTGAGGCAATTTGATTGTGGTGAATGTCCCCCCCTCCCCCCCCCAAAAGCCGTATACAACACACGCTCATCACACCTGTATCAGACCGCCAAACATGCCAGTATACCTTCATGATCCGGGTGTGTGTCTTTGTGATCGGCAGAACTACCGTAGGCAGTCGAGGTAGCTGAGGGAAAAAGAAAGAAAAAACATCAACTGAACTGAAATGAACTGAGCTGACCTAAACTGACCTAAACTGACCTGAACTGACCTGAACTGACCTGTATACCCTCAAATGAACTGAACTGGCCTGAACTGACCTAAAAAAAAAGCAAAAAGAAGAACTGCACATACCTTTCGCGCCGCTCGATCAAACACTACATCCTGCTTTGCATCCACGTCCAGGACCTCCTTGAACCGGAATTCAAATTTTTCTCGTTGATTGTTTACGTAGCCCATGGCCATATCTCGGGGTATCGTGAAGATAACTCGACCGTCTCCATCCCCATTATTGATAATTTCCATGGGTGCCACACGTCCACTAGGCGGCCGAACACGAAGGAACACGTCAATATTGCTTACCCAGGCTTCATGTACCTCCGCTCCCCCTTCTCCTCCCCCTCCTCCTCCTCCTCCTCCTCCTCCTCCTCGTCCTCCTCCTCCTCCTGCTGCTGTCGCTGTCGATGGGGGTGGGAGTGCAACTGCAGTAGCACCTCCACCAGAACCTCCTCCTCCTCCTCCTTTCCCATCCTCCATATCTCCCCCTTCCTGCAATCCGTAGCCACACTAGGCCTTCCCTATCTGGACGTATCTGCCCGCAACGACAGCCCAGATTCGGTCAAAAACGAGGTCGTGCATCCGAGCAGAAAAGCCCTAGTGTGGCTATGCGCGCCAATCTATTGACAGGTCAGGAGCAGCAGTAGGAGTACCTAACCCAAGGCCCTCCTTCACCGGTTGTCGCACACAAGATCCGACGTCGCACAAAATCCTCGGTAATACCCCGGCTTCACTCTCCGCTCTTCTTGCCCAGCCCCACACAATAAACGCCATAGCTGATTACATCCTTGGCTCTATGGCTATCGCTATGGTGATGCCGCACAAAGTCTTCCATGGCCATTGGTTGGTGGGGAGACGAAGGAACGTTAGAGAGAGTTGTCGCGGAAGGCACAGGCTTTGCCGCACGATAGCCTCCAGGCTGAGCGACAGGTGCCAGACGACAGACTCGTTTATGTTCCCGCGAAAGCTTCTTCCTCTTCACGGCTTTCCCACACGTTGTGCCGCACGGATCGCATAATAGCTTGCACAAGCTCCAGATAGCGCCGCACAGATCGCATAATAGCTCGCACAAGCTCCAGATAGCGCCGCACAGAGACTCCTTCCACTCGATGGGAGTGCCGCATACGGTGTTAGGCGACCCAATCGGGGTTGGACGTGAAAAGCCAGAAGCTTCACGGCTTCCCCTCTCCCCCCAACCCCTCCACACCCCCCCCGCCCCTCTTTTCCCCTTCGGGCCACCGCCCACCGCTAGCCCAAAGTTTGTCGCACGCACACATGCAGTAACGTCCGGAAGGGATGTGCGTGCGACGCAAAAAAAAAATGCCTTCAAAGCTCCACAGATTTCGTCGCACGCTGTCGCACAACAAGCTGCCGCGGACTGGAAGGAAACTTTGACTGGCTGGACAAGGGACAAGCTACGTGAGCTATGTATGGCTCACGGCACGCCCTTTCCCACCGCCGCCCACGTGCTTGCGAGCAGGGGTGTGGAGGATGCCGGGACAAATTGGCGCCGCCCAGAAGGCTTCCGCTCGGCGGATCCGCCGCACGCTGTCGCACAGATAGATACTGTAATAACCAATTCACACACTCTTGGAGGTAAAACAGGTCGGGCTGAACGAGCAAGCTAAGAGACTTTCACAGCCTTCCCAAGCCCTGTCTCTTATACACATCTAGATGTGTATAAGAGACAGGTCCCCGCACACACACGCCGCTCTGGAAGTCCTTCTCCACACAGTCTCTCCCACCACCATACCAAGACCCTCCCTTGGCCGGCACTGCCGCACAAGCACTGTCGCACAGGCTACCAGGACTGTCGCACACGCTACCGGGACTGTCGCACAGGCTACCAGGACTGTCGCACAGGCTACCAGGACTGTCGCACAGGCTACCGGGACTGTCGCACAGGCTACCGGGCGCTTCGGACACCGGCGATCAGTTGGATGTGAATCACGGTGCTTAATGTTTTCTATTCGGACATTGCTCGAGATTTTGTCCCACATATCTCCCTTAGTGTTTGCCGTGTTAACTACGCTTATGTTTTCTGTGTGTCCCACATATCTCCCTTAGTGTTTGCCGTGTTAACTACGCTTATGTTTTCTGTGTGTCCGATATATCTCCCTTAGTGTTTGCCGTGTTAACTACGCTTATGTTATCTGTGTGTCCCCCATATCTCCCTTAGTGTTTGACGTGTTAACAGCGGCCCTCCCTTAGTCTTAACTACGGTTATGTTATCTGCTTGATGGTCAGTCGTTGCGCTGACTTTTGCTCTGCACACAACGATTGATTTTATGAGGATCACGATTTTGAGTGCGCCTTTTATTTTTTTGGTCCTCGCCAGGTGCAGATTTCGAAATTCAATGCTGACGCAATTTCAGAATCAGGACCGAGAGTGAGTGAGCGGATTGATATTGCCATCACACGGGAGAAGACAGCCGAGCAACCACAATACCAGAGTCGTGAGAATGCAGAAGATTGATGCATTAGTTTGATTAGAATTAAAATAATAATAATAATAATAATAACTAATTAAATCATCAATCCATAATTTCGTTAACCCGCGCATAAACACGCTCTAACAAGTGACAGGACGCTAGAAGTACAGCGTGTGTCATCGCTAACCGGGGATGAAAGGTCGATTGATCGATCCATCGATCAATTGATCAATCAATCAATCAATCAATCAATCAATCAATCAATGTTGTCCTACGGCCATGTCAAAGAAGAAGCTGGTGGAAGGTTGAACGATCGATCAATCGAACCAGCAATCAATCAATCAACCAATCTCTCTCTCTCTCTCTCTCTCTCTCCCCCTCTGTGTGTGTGTGTGTGTGTGTGTGTGTGTGTGTGTGTGATCCCGCGATTGCGTTTGTGTGTGTGACCAAGCTCCTTCGCACATCTGGTCCTAACGCCAGGCAGGGTGATTGCTAATCAAATCATTTATTTAACTAATTAAGGAGGAAAGTTGATCCTCTCAGCGCATCGTCCTCACACATCTGCAAAGCCGCGCGTTGGATGATCAATCACATCGATTGAAAAAAAAAAAAAAAAAAAAAGCATTCACAATCAATCGAACGTTCTACCGCCATGTCATTCTTCTCCTTCTTCTAGAATCTGACAAGAAAGCGCGGGAAGATCTTTCGATCTCTCCCCTTCCATTTCGCATGCGCGGCTCTTCAAATTACTACTGCACTTATTATCTCAACAACGACGGACTTCTCCTCTCGCTGCTCCTCCTCTTCCACTCCCCTCCTCCCCCCTCCACCACCCCCTCCTCCGCCGCCTCCGTCGCAGTTATCCTTCCATAACAGCACACCTCGATCGCAAATGAGCAGACTGCCCGTACGAGCGACCGAGCCGCTCCCACGTGTCTGCATTACTCCTCTTTCTCCTCATCGAACGCCTTCCTTCCATAACAAGGAGGACAGAGACAGCACCCGCCTCATCCTCATCGGATTGGACCAAGCAGTTCGAGCGCCTGCCACGTGGGCCCTGCATGACGATCAATCAGCCAATCAATCAGTCCGCAATGGGAGCGCAATCATTACAATAGGATTTGAGTGGAAAGAACAGGTTTGCAAAATCTGGGGAAAAAAAAAAAAAAAAGTGTACATGCTGTGCTGTGCTTCTGCTCATTCGTCACTCGAGTTCTTTTTCTTTCAATTACTTAAAAGGAATCATTTCACTCAAATTTGTATTTTTTGTATTTTTCAATAAAGCATTCAGTCAATCAAACTTAAACTACTTCACTTAGATTACTGGTCCACAGACTCAATCAAACTATTCAATCAATTGGTGTATGCCACACTAGGCCATTCCCTTTTGGAAGTATCTGGCCGCACGAACAGCCTACATTCATTCAAAAAAGAGGTCGTGCTAGTGTACACATATACAAGATTACATACACATATACATAGTATGTAGATGCATATGCATTCACGTATATATATTGTCACACTGTAAATCAGAGAGCGCGAAGGCGAAAAAAAGCAAAACAAGGAAAGGAAAAGAAGGAAATATATATATATAGTCAAACAACCTACATCCACGTGGGCGGCCTTGTACGCAAGAGGTTCTGAACAGGGGGAGTTATAAGGAAGAAGATAAAAAATTGAATTCAATTTTCTTTTCTTCTTTTTTTCCTTTTTTTCCGCATTTGCGCTCTGATATTTTGTGACAATATATATAGTCAAACAGAGCGGCCCGGTAAACCGTAGGCAGAGAGAGGGAGGGAGAAGAGGACAAGGAACGAGAGGGGCTGTGAGAGCTCTTGATTTGAGGCCCGGCCGTAACTTTCTATCTAGAACGCGTCTGTCTGAAGTAGCTGGACTGAGATTTTAATGTTGTAATAATAATAATAATAATAATAATAATAATAATAATAATAATAATAAAACAATAATACTAATAATAATGATAATAATACTGATAATATTTGATAATGATAATGATCATAATACGTAATTCTATGAAGAAGACGAAAAAAAAAGCAGCTGTACTAATTGATTGAAACACGTTGGGGCAATGAATGAGCGCGCTACCGAGTTCAATAATATCTTCTTCTTTTGCTCTTTTTTTAACCGAGTTCAGTGTACATGCATGGATGTCGACGAAATGCATTTGGGAAGGAGAAGCCGTCAGGAATTAAAATTCTCCCCCCCCCCCCCAAAAAAAAAAAAAAACGGATGATGAGGCCTTCGCAGGGATGCTGGAAGATGATCATCACCCCTGGAAAAAAAAAAACAAAAAAAAAAAACAAAAAAAAAAAACTAAAGATGATCATCATCACCCACAAAGAATTTCGTTAAACATTCAAAATACATGGGGGGGGATTTACAACAGGTCGTGCGTGCTCAATGCAAACTCTCTCTCTC